AATAATGATTTACTTGGGATAAACCATCACTGTTTCATAGAAGGTGCCCACCGCCGCATCACCGTGTCAAGCCACCACTGTGCCTCTCTGCTCAAGCCTTCTGTCCACTCCTTCATCCCATCCGTCTGACCATAGGCCCTCTGACTGCCAAGCCAAGCTGATGGTCATGTGTATGCTGTCAGGGAAATAAGTGGAGCCCAGAAGATGGGATCAGGGCTTGGGTTTCAGTTCACGCTTCATCACTTGCTGTGTACCAATGGCCGGTTAACTTCTCAAAATCTCAAGTTTCTTATATGAGGAATGGGGGAAAGAACAGGATTGTGAGAATTAAATGAACCCCTCAAGTGAAAAGGTAAGCCTGCAGTAAGGTAGCAAATTAGTAAACGAGCAATAACTGTTAGCCAATAGCAGTCCACGCCGCAGCAGCAAAGTCACTTGTAGGGTCCTTGCATCTGCCCAGGAATTCAGGGAGGCGGGATGGGGATGGGGGATGTTTGCATTAATATGTAAGGTGGACTGTATGGATTAAACCAGTGATCAATGCATAATTTTAAATGGTTGAATAGAAAAATGGCTGCCTTGGGAACCACAGAGCAGCCCTAAATAGCTGCCTGGAATTTTGCTGTCATTCAAGCCCATTTATCCTTGGCCACCCATTGGATTTTGTATAGATGTATGTTATTCTTCTGACCATTTGCCTTTTTATTTGTGTTTTAAATGTATGTTTAAAATCTGGGCAATTTTGCAAAATCCTTTTGGCTTTCTAAATTTCAAATATAATTGGCTTTTGCACTCCATTTTTATTCTTAAGCCTGATTAGAATTAATTTTTTGCACCTATTCTTTTCTCATTTGTGAACTACCTGCCCTGGCTTCTGTAAGCAGTTCTAGTAGCGGTGGAATTTGTATTCTGGGTCACTGAGGCTTCTGCAAGGACACTTAAAAGAATGTCAGAGAAATAGAAGAAATCCTAGTGGAAAAACAAATGGCACAGCCTATTGTGTGCAGCTAATGGAAATCTAATTTAGTTTTATTGCCAGTGGATGTCTCTCAAACAGAAAGCTAAGTGAAAGGCAGCCACTTCAAGGCCCCTGGAATCAAGGGTGAGACGAGTGGTTTAGTCCCTGCGTGGTGATCGCTTGGCTAAGTGATCTCAGCTTCCCTGGGTCTTCACCTCTCCAGAGTCTGTTTCCTTATTTGAGACTGGCTTGGCTGCTGTCTCATGCCCCTTCCAGCTCCAGTGTTACATTTACTCTAGAAATAAGAGCTGACTTGTTTACATGTTTGTTTCTCCTGTGCTGTATTATGCTGATGTTATCATGAATTACTGCTTTTCCTTCTTGCAGAATTTTCCAAACTTTAGTCTTTATTGTGTGTTATGAGTATTTTCTTTGTTCTACCTATATATTGCAGACACTATAGATATTAGTTTTTAAAAAGTAGTAAAATATTAATGTGATTCCAAAAGTCAGAACTGTATAAACAATCTTACTTAAAAAAGGGTCCCTCCTGTCTCTGCCCCCTTCCCACCACCTCCTCTTCACTCCACCGTGTTTCCCAGTTCTTTTCATTCTGCAGCCTGTTCCATTCCGCTTTCTAGTAGGCAGTCAGTCTCATTTCTATTTCATCATTCCTATGTTGCTTATTTTTGTTTTATGCAAATGAACAGGTTCATTATATAGATATTATATATATTCACTTATATAGAATATATTTATTTAAATATATTTTGGCCACACCAAGTGGCCTGTGGGATCTTAGTTCCCCAATCAGGGATCAAACCTGGACCCTCAGAAGTGAAAGCGCAGAGTCCTAACAACTGGACTGCCAGGGAATTCTCAGATTCATGTATATTGTATTATTTTCTCTTCTTTCTTGCATGAAAAGTACCATAGTAAGATTGCTTTTTCCCCATAGTGGGGCTTGAGAATCATTACATGTCATTTCAGAGTGGTCATCCTCATATTTTAATTAATGTTATGTCTCTTAAGTACTCCACTGTATGGATCAGTCAGTTCGGTGGAGCAGTCATTTCAGTCGCTTGGTCGTGTCCGACTCTTTGTGACCCTCGTGGACTGCAGCACGCCAGGCCTCCCTGCCCATCATCAACTCCCAGTTGCTGAAACTCACGTCCATTGAGTAGGTGATGCCATCCAACCATCTCATCTTCTGTCGTCCCCTTCTCCTCCTGCCCTCAATCTTTCCCATCATCAGGGTCTTTTCCAGTGAGTCAATTCTTCCATCAGCTGGCCAAAGTACTGAAGTCCTGTATGGATAGACCATAGTGTATTTAACCTCTCTCTCTTTTTTTGTGTGGGCATTTCTTTGTTTTTCAGTACTTGGCAAATTTAAATAATGCTATAGTGAAAACCTTGTTATGTATATATTAATTCTGGAGGTGTATTCAGGGTAAATAGCCAGAAATAGAAGAACTAGGTCAGGAGATGAATGCAAATGTAGTTTTGCTGGATATTGCCAAATTTACCTCCAAAATGGTCCCACCAGTTTTCACTTTCATCAGCAGTGTGTGAGTTCATCTTTTCCCAAGCCTCACCAAAAGAATGTTGTCTTGCTTTTTAATTTCCACCAATGCAATAGTTGAAAAACAATGTGTCATTGTTGTTTTATTTTGCATTCCTCTGTCTGAATACCTTTTCACAGGTTAAAGGGTCATTTTCTTTCATTTTTTTTTTTTTTTTTTTTTGGTGAATTATCTGTTCATTATTTCTCCCATTTTTCTATGGAGTTTTCGGCCATTAAGCCAATGAGTTTATTCCACTGGCACTCTCTCTTCTTCTACTTTTGGGTTACACTATTTCTATTTTGTCGTGACATATAGAAAAAAGAGTTCACTAATAAGAAATTCCCTATGCTCTTGTATGTTAAAGCTTTTACTGTAGATTTAGTACTGAAAGCCCAGCGTTGCTGAGTATAAAATTCTTGGTCCATGTGTTTGTGTTGTTGTTGAGTTGTTTGAATATGTGGCCTCACTGTTACCTTGTTCGTACGCTCTTTTGGAAGTTTGATGCTAAGCCAGTGGCTTTGCCTTTCTAAGACCTTTGATCTTTTTGCCTGGAGACCTTGAGGATTTTTTCATCATTGAGGGCTAATACTTCTGCTAGGATATGTCTTTTATGTGGTTCTTCAGGTACCATTTTACCTGGTTCACAGTTATTCTGCTCCACTGTTTTGTTTTTCCTCTTTCACCGACTCCAGTTATATAAATGTTATTTCTCCTTTGCCTGTCTTCCATTTCTGCTACCCTCTCTCTGATTCTTCTTTATCTCTGTCATTTTCTTGGCTATTTCCTTGTTTTTCTTCTGGTCTTCTCACTAAGTCTTCATTGAATCCATTATTCCTTGTGTGTCTTGTAATTTAGAGTTTAGTTCTGAAATGATTTTTTTTCCTTCTGTTTCTTTCTTGACTTCACAATTCTCTGTTTTTTGTTCATGTTTGTTCTAAACATCAAGCAATTATTTATATCACCAAATGCTCGTTTGAGCACATTAAGTTTCATTTTCAAGTATCATCTTATACTTTGCTTCTGCTTCTTGGTTTTCTTTTTTGGGGGCAGAGAGCCATCATTTGAGCTGTTTTGAATGGTTTCTAAATTTTAAAAATTCTTTTGTGGTGATTTTCTACAGTTCTGTAGAATTACTTCTGTTCCTTTTTGTGGGTTTTTGATTGTAGAGACGGCTTTGCAGCTCTCTGGTGCCCTCTTCTGTGAGTGTAGCAAAGTGCAGAATCTTCAGTGGAATTTTTTTAGAGGGAGGTTTTGTGAAGCCCTAGACTTTCTCTTTTGTTTCTTTTACGCCTCCCTACCTAGTGGCCAAAAAAAATCTTTTACTTTCTTTTGCCTCTTTCTCTTCCATTGTAGCCATGCCTCTCGAAAGCCATAGTTTCAAATTGAGCAAACATTTGGCTCCCTTTTCTGTGGGGTCTGATCAGATCCACCAGGACACTCTCAGGATTTGAACACGTGCTCCGTCTGGTGCTGGCGCTAGGTCGCCTGGTTCCTCACCAGTTCCCGTCTTCTCTCCCCCTCCTCTCCTTGTGCTTCTTAACTCCATCTTCAGTCAGTCTCCCTACCAGGCGAAGACCTGCTTTGTTGTTAAGGACGGGAGCACTTTATTTAGTGGTTAAGCAGCTTCGGACTGATGACAGCTGTGATTAGTGGTTGGTGATTGTGAAGGCAATGTATTTAGTCACTGCAATGTGCCAGGGATTCTGTGCTTCTGCATTATTTTATTTAATTATCATAAAGTCTCTTTTCATCCCCACTTTTTGAACCGTTACCTGAGGCTTAGCTCCTGTATCACTTTTTGGAATTTGAAAGTCTCTCAGTCGTGTCCAACTCTTTGCGACCCCATGGACTATACCTGTCCATAGACTTCTCCAGGCCAGAATACTGGAGTGGGCAGCCATTCCCTTCTCCAGGGGATCTTTCCAACCCAGGGATTTGAACCCAGGTCTCCCACGTTGCAGGCAGTTCTTTACCAGCTGAGCTACCAGCAAACCTAAATTTTTTGTAGCTTATTGGACAGTAAATGGCAGAAACACGTTTCCAGCCTTGTCCTGGCCTTTGGGGTCACAGGGCAACAAGTCCAGGGTGCATCCAGCCTCAGAGGGCTTCACGGGACTTCATACCTAGGCTGTCCCTTCTCACCTGGTCTCAGGTCATGTTGTAAGGGTGGTGAAAACCTGGTTCACTGGTATTTCCAGTAGTACGGAGGGTCATGTGTCTTGTAAGGAAATGGCATGTGAGTAAGTTGGTGCAAAAGGAAAAGAGGCGATCAGCGTGATCAGAATGGTGTCTTTAATTTCCTAAAGACTGTCCATTACATGTGGCACCGGGCCTTGTTCAACACTGATACCAAATGAATGTCAATTTCAGTATGTTCACTGATGACTTACTGAGTTTCATTTCCACATTGTGGTTTTTGATGTAGACTGGTGAAGATACTGTTTTTATTTATTTGCATTATTCCTCTTGGTTTACAGTTATTTGCTGGCATAAAAGATGGAGAGAACCTGCAGCTTTTTGAACAGAGTTCCCGCTCTGCCCATAAACAAGAGACACATACCCTGGAAGCCACGAAGCTCGTCGAGTTTGACCTTAAGCAAACACTTACCCAGCTTATGACACATATCTTTGGAGATGGTAGGTACTAAATGCCTTTGTCTTTGGGGGCTTAAATATTCAGCAGTTATCATCTTCCTGAAATCATTAAGCCTACTTGTGTCTAGAGTTTTTGGTCTAAGTTGTAGTTAATGGTTTCGGTCCTTAGTGAGATAGAGCTTATGGGTTTCTTGGTTCATTCCATGTGAGGAGCAGGAGGATATGAAAATGGAATTAGCTGGAGAAAGAAAAATGATTACAGCTTTTGATAAGAATGGTAATGAATTGAGATCAGTCTCATCAATGGAGAGGAAGTGAACAGGCTGATTAATGTCGGAATATTAATATATTATCATTGGTCAGCCTTGATCGATGGGGCAGGATTCTTAACTGTGTGAGCGAGCCCAGAGGAAGATTTTACATTCTGACATGCTGATTACCAGTGTCAGCAGCAAAATACCAACAGTTTCCTGGGGGGAGAACAGTGTTTTTAAGATGTGGATTCTCACTTTAATCACTTGCCCTTCATTCTTTCTCTAAGAAATTTTAGTTTCCCTTTCCCCTCCAACTCTTCTCTGATTTACTTGAGATGGTATTTTTGTTTGTTTGTATAAAGATGTAAAGAAGAGGGGCGATTTTTCCTTAATTACGACCTACTGTTTAGAAAAGATTCTATTTGTCAATAACTTTATTGCCGTCTGTGCCGGGTTTTGCTGCTGCGCGGGCTCCCTCGGGTTGCGGTGCGCGCCGGCTCCTCTGTGGCCGGGACCTCTCCTGTGTGGGGCCCAGGCTCTCGGGCTCAGGGGCTCAGTAGCTGCAGCTCTCGGGCTCAGCTGCTCCCATGGCAGGTGGCACCTTCCCAGATCAGGGATCAAACCCACGTGTCCTACAGGGGCAGGCGGATTCCTTGTCGCCGAGCCACCAGGGAAACCCCCTGGATCTACGTTTTTAAAATGTTTAGAAAACAGAAGCTCTGCATGGTTAGGATCCTCTTTTGTTCTCATACTCTTGTGAGCTTTTTCAAAGAACAAGTTCTTTATCGAAGTGTGATTGACAAAAAGTAAACTATGTATATCTAGAGTGTATAATTAATCAGCTAAGTTTATATACAATAAACAGCATATTTACACAGTCTTATAAGTCTCGATGTTTGTGTACACCCGTGAAACCACTAGTAGCATCCAGCTAATCAGTGGGTCCATTGCCCCCAGGTCTCCGCTGGCGCCTGGCAGACCCTCCTTCTTGCATTTCCTATGTCTCCACCCCGGCAGCCAGTGATCTTTCTGTCCCTGCCGTTTGCTTCACTCCTTCTGGATGTATATAGATGAATCCTGTGATGTGTGTTCTCCCCACCCCTCCTGCTGGCATATTTCACTTAGTACGATTATTTGCAGATTGATCCGTGTTGTAGCATAATGTCAGTAGTTCATTCCTTTTTTCTTGATGAGCAGTGTTCCATTCTGTAGTTCATCTGTCCATCCATTGAGAGACATTTGGGTTGTCTCCAGTTTTTTGCGGTTACAGGTAAATCTCTGCATATTCATGTACACGTCTTTGTCTGGACCGATGCCTTCATTTCTTTTCGTTAAGTACGAAGGAGTACAATGGTTGCGTCTTTTGGCAGGTGAATTTTAACTTTCTTAGAAGCCGCTGAACTGTCCTGTAGTATATGAAAACTCCTTGTGCTCTGAGGCAGCCAGGCGTTTAAATTTTAGCCATTCCAATGGGACAGTAGTGATTTGTCAAATAATCATTCGGCTATATAAATAACTCTTCCAAATAAACAAGGAAAAATCAACCTGTGAGAGAAATGGGTGATCATGAAGGCAACAGATGATGTGGTTATTAATAGAATGACTCTTGAGTGTGTGAAGAGATGCTCACTCTGATTAGTAACCAGGAGAAGCAAATGAAAACTACCTGAGCTATCCTTTGTCATTCTTCATATGTGAAAAAACTGAAAAATCCAACAGTTGTATGTGTTGACATAGATATAAAAAAATAGTCTATAGTACACAGTCTTGGCCTTATACAGGTATCTGCAATACTCTCTTTCTGGGGCACTTGACCACTTACTTACTACTCTTACGTGCCTCATTTTTCCTACCTCTAGATTTCCCTACTTCTGTGTGAACTCAAATATGTGTTTAAAAAGATTCCTATTATGATTTATTAAGCCTCTTCTTCCCTGTTATTTCAAGGTTTCTTCGAATATCTTGACTGTTCATGTACTATTTAAGAACCCACTAACAACCCCATATATTGTTTATATACATATATATTTTTTTTTAAAGTACATCAATTTCATGCTAGTGTCTTTTTCTAGGAGGCAGAGAGTGGGTATTACGGAGAAGGTCCAAATCAGGCTTTCAAGTGTGTTCATGGGGTTCTACTAAAACAAAAAAGATATGAAGTTAAATATGACAAAATGTGATGATTTGATAAAATTAAATAGCGAGTGTGTAGATGTTTGCTGTTTTCTATTTCTGTCTCTTTGGACTATTTCATGTTAAAATGGTATAATGTAATTGTGAGGCAGGTTTCAGAAAGAGATTGCTGATGCAAAAATCTTATTATAGCCAACTTCTCTTTACTTTCATGATATAAGATAGGAATTGTGATATTTTTAGCAGTAATATAATCCAGTTAAGACTGGAATACTATAGGGAGATGGATTGTGCTATTCAGGGCATTTTCGAGGCAAGTAATGGTAAAAGAATTCTAACATCTCCTTGGATACAAGAAGATACAGCCAGTCCATCCTAAAGGAAATCGGCCCTGAATTGCAAGGACTGATGTGAAGCTGAAGCTCCAATACTTTGGTCAGCTGATGTGAAGAACTGACTCACTGGAAAAGACCCTGATTCTGGGAAGGATTGAAGGTGGGAGGAGAAGGGAACAACAGGATGAGATGGTTGGATGGCATCACCGACTCAATGGACATGAGTTTGAGCAAGCTCCGGGAGGTGGTGAAGGACGGGGAAGCCTGGCGTGCTGCATGCAGTGCATGGAGTTGCAAAGAGTTGGACATGACTGAGTGACTGAACAGCATCAGTTCTAACATTTTAGGGAGACAGTAGTCTGTCTCAAGTCGCTTTACAAGGAAACCCAGGATCATCTTAGTTTTTCTGTTGTCACCCTGTGAAGAAAATTGGTTTTAAGCCCTCCTTATTTATGTCTCTCTACACATTTCTGTCATCGGATGACCCCCCATTTGTGAGATTTATTGCTGTTGTTTATTTGCTAAGTTTTGTCTGACTCTTTGCGACCCCTTGGACTGTAGTCCGCCAAGCTCCTCTGTCCATGGGATTTCCCAGCAAAAGTACGGGAGTAGGTTGCCATTTCCTTCTCCAGGGGATCTTCCCAGCCCAACCCAGGGACTGGACCTGTGTCTCCTGGACTGAGCAGGTGGATCCGGGTTCTTGACCGCTGAGCCACCAAGGAAACCCCTCGTGAGGTGCAGAAGCTGCCCTGCAGTTCCACGGGTGACCTAGTGGTTCTGACGTGGCGGAGAGCTTCCTCTCTCTGACAGCTGGCATTTGTGTTTCTCTTTCTTCTTTATTATTTTTCATTCCTTTGCCCCGCTCCCCTTGCTTACTCTCCCGGCCCCTCCACTTGGAAAATCCTCACTTATCCTCTGATGTCACCAGCAGTGAAATCCTCCTTGGTGTCCTCCAGCCAGGAACCCTGCTGGAGTCTGTGCTGAACTCTGGGGAGCTGCTTGTTCTGCGCTCCTCTGAGCGCCCTCAGGTGGGTTTCACTTTGCTGGATTTCCACCATGCTGCGGGCGTCGCAGTATTGGGTACATGAGACAGTCCCAGTCTTCGAGCAGCTGAGAGTGTGACGTCCTCTCCCGGGGAGGCCTGAGTGTCACGGCAGCACACAGGAAAGGCGGCTCCTCTGGATCCGGCCGGGAGAGCTCCCAGTGGGGGTCTGAGCTGCCGTACTCACTGAGAGCGGGCATCGAGCTGAACCACGCAGGACTGCAAAGAGGAAAAATCTCATGGCCGGCTGGAGATGGCCGCATGGAACCAGAAAAATTACATTTAAGTTCTCTTTCCTCCACTTGCTCCAAAGTCTTGGTCATTTAGTGCTTTAGGTCCTAGTATTTTTAAAGCTCAAGATAATAAATAGTACAGTTTCCCATGAGAATAAAGTGAGATAACATATGTGAACAGTGCCCTTTAAGAAGATATTAAATGCATGTGTAAATATGAAAAAAAGAAATAAGGAAGGGCAGGCAAATGAATACAATCAAAATGGGGCCAATCAAAGAACAATGGTTGCGTTGGCTTGTCTTTGTTTTGCCTAGTGAGGTGAGACGTGACTTTATGCCAGACGACAGTGCAGCAGTTCAGACTGGCACTGATGGCGCCCTAAGAGTCCTTCTGGGCTCCAGCAAGTAATGACACAGGCATACACACTGCTAGACCATGTATATGTTATGAAGATGTTCCCAGGGGTCCTGAGGATATGCATTCCTCTGAACGTAGTCTTGAACCTTCCTTTGTCTCATTATTCTTTACATTTATATGTGAACAGCTTTCAAAACTGAGCATTGAGGTGAAAGTGTCCAGGTAGCTGTTTTCCTTATGAAAGACCTTTCCTGCAGTATGTGAGTTTCCTCATACGCCTCTCATGCCCGTGGCCAAGAATTAAGGATCTCAAGTTTTGAAACAGCAGTGAAGTTGTAGCATCTCTATTGCAGGCGAACGTTTGCTTTATTTTTTAAATGCTACCAGCTTAGACTTTTAGGTTTTAGATTTCAGTACAGATCGGAGTTACTATTTCATAAATCTTCAAACTTACTTTTTTGTTCATGAGACCAGAGTCAACAGAATAGTGGAGTGGCAGTAAAGTAAATTATCCACCTGCCCAGAGACGTCTTGTTCCCAGCACTAAAGTCAGTCTGTGAAAAAGCCTTTTCTTTTTCTTTTCTTCCAGCCATTAACCCCATTTGCACAGTCCTTAACCCCATTCACACAGTCACTAAACACCCCAAAAATCTTCCCGCACGCCTCATCCGCCCAGCCTTGCCCAGCCCCGTGCACCCTTGTGGGGTATCACTGACGGGGTGTTGGGGCGTTTGTAGCATCCACTGATATGCTTCTCGGGGGAGGGGAGGTGCCGCCGCCAGGCTCACGCTGTGAACTTGAAGGGTGAGGGGCCGTGTTACAGGCGGCAGGCTGTGTGCCCTCACGGCGCTCAGGTGGGTGAATGTTCACAGCGCCCTGGGACCTGGCTGAAGGCACGTGCCATGCTCTGACTTCACACGTTTCAGAAGGGGGTCACTGAGTTGTTCTTTTTGGGGTAGGGGTGCTAGTTGCTGAGAAACATTTCAGTAAGCCTTCTGGGTACAAGCCGTCTGGACGACTTTTAGAGCAGCAGTCGCCAGCCTTTTTAGTACCGGGGATGGGTTTCGTGGAAGACAGTTTTCCCACGGACTGGGCAGGGGTGGGGGATGGTTTGGGGTGATTCAAGTGCATCACATCTATTGCACATTTTATTTCTAATCTAATGCCGCCACTCATCTGACGGGAGGTCCCGATCCTCACCTGGAGGTTGGGGACCCCTGGTTTAGAGTAATAATAGCCGTAGTAGTGATGATGACAGGAAGCGATGGTAGGTAACAGTGTCAGCTGCTGCATTAAGCTCTCACAAGGACTTTCTTTGTTCTGACCTGCATCTGTCACATAGGTGTGACTGTGATCTAGTTTTCAGGTTCGGGAACCCAGACTCGGAGCATGGAGTACCAAGTAACCACATGGCTCCAGAGTAACCTGAGGCCTCGTTTGAGCCTCCTTGGGCTTTCCTGGCGGCTCAGACGGTCAAGAATCTGCTTGCAATGCAGGAGGTCCAAGTTTGATCCCTGGGTTGGGGGGATCCCTTGGAGAAGGGAATAGCTACCCACTCCAGTATTCTTGCCTGGAGAATCCCGTGGACAGAGGAGCCTAGTGGGCTACAGTCCATGGGGTCGCAAAGAGTTGGACACGACTGAGTGATTGACACTTTCACTTTGAGTCCTGTAATTTTGACTTCGAGCCTGTGTCAGATGTTAGCTCTTTTGAAAGGAGAGAAAGAAGTCATTTCAATAATATTTCTGACACTGATGTTTCTAAAAGCCATGATGTAAAAAAAAAAACTGGGGCCTCCTCCTGCGTGTTGCCCCGACTCTGCCTCTGACTCTCCTGTGGCTGCTCTGGATAAAGCCCCGCCCATGACAGCATATTCAGGTACATTTCAGGTACCAGAGGTCACCGAGAAACCTCAGATTCAGTCCTCCTTTAACCAGCTGATGACCAGGAGCTGCGTGGGCAGGCCTCAGAATTATTCAGCAACTCTTTTTTTATTTGTTTTTATGGTCCAAGTTTTTTACTCTTTTAAATTATAGAATCCCGTGGACAGAGGAGCCTAGTGGGCTACAGTCCATGGGGTCGCAAAGAGTTGGACACGACTGAGTGATTGACACTTTCACTTTGAGTCCCGTAATTTTGACTTCCGAGCCTGTGTCAGATGTTAGCTCTTTTGAAAGGAGAGAAAGAAGTCATTTCAATAATATTGCTGACACTGATGTTTCTAAAAGCCATGATGTTAAAAAAAAAAAAACTGGGGCCTCCTCCTGCGTGTTGCCCCGACTCTGCCTCTGACTCTCCTGTGGCTGCTCTGGATCAAGCCCCGCCCTTGACAGCATATTCAGGTACATTTCAGGTACCAGAGGTCACCGAGAAACCTCAGATGCAGTCCTCCTTTAACCAGCTGATGACCAGGAACTGCGTGGGCAGGCCTCAGAATTATTCAGCAACTCTTTTTTTATTTGTTTTTATGGTCCAAGTTTTTTACTCTTTTAAATTATTAGTGTTGTATTCCTTTGTTCTTGAAAAGCAAAATTAAAAATTACAGCACACTATTTCCTTGTGGCAATTTGTTGTTATTACAGCTGCTTTAGTTTCAGGGTTGGTTTTTTTTTCCCTACTTGCCAAAGCGGTTGATTATTTTCTGCTAACATTTCAATTGCACCAGCATCCTAAGGCTGTTATAAGAGAGGTTATCCGTTTAGAATTGGAAAGAGAGAAAATAACCTATAGACAGCTTTTACGCTTATGGAATTCACTGACATTTTTTAACATTGCTAAATTGTTTCCCTCCATCTTGTACTGTCTGTAGCAGATGGTTTCTTTAAGAGCAGCTCAGGTGGGATGGAGGATTCCTCACATTTTGGTCTCACTTTTTGTCCTTCAGGGCGTCCAGCCCATCCGTCTCCCTGCTGAAGGCTGACATTTCCCTGTAGGAAGCACGGGCCTCCGGGCACGGTTTAGATGAACGCCTCTGAACGAGAGATGGACTGTGATCCCCTGCTGCTGGCTAGATGCGTTGCTGTGGGCGAGTCATGTGTCTTTCTGAGCCGAGCAGTGGCCCCAGGCCCCGAGCTCTCCAGACCTTCAGTCCAGCAGAGGTTTGGGGGCCGTCAGATGCACTCAGCCCGATCTCGCCCCCGGGGCTCGGCTCTCTCCAAGCGCCTCAGAGCCGCAGCCCCAGGCTGTGCTGGGTGACTTCAGTCCCCCTCTCTTGCCAGCAGGGAGCCCCTGCCGTCCCAGTGTCTGACCGCAGGCCTCTGGCCTTGCTCGGATACCAAGCCAGCAGTGCATGTTCCTGCAGGTGGTGAGCTGGCGTCTTCTCCCGGATTGTGGAGCCCGAGCCCAGCAGCGCGGAGCTTTGCCCTCTCTGACCCTCTGCTTTTCGAGCCTGTTTCTGGCCAGGGGAAGTGTTCCTCTCATCTTTGATCACAGCCTGGCCTTTGTGGTTTTCTCTGTCATGCCTGTCGTGGTGCGTCGGGAGCAGGGGGCTGGCAGTGCGCTCTTGGCTGGGGGCGCTTGGCCTGGAAGCCGAGCGGGGTCCGTCTCCACGGTCTGCCCAGGGGAGGGCAGCGGAGGGCTGTGCCACCCCCTGTCTGGAGCAGAATTCTCATCTCGGCGTTTTCTGACTGTAAACGTCAAGATGTGTAAGCCGGCCCAACTCCTGCATCTGTGGGAGATGAATATGCCGTGTTCACGGCTGCCTGTCCTCAGCATAAAGGCTGAACTGAAGGAGGCCTGTGAACCATCTCGTGTAGCACCGCAGTAAGTAAGCAATGGACGTCAATGACCTCAGCGTGCCCTTTAGGAATGTTTCTTTTTCTTCATATTTTTATGAAAACCCGAGAGAGAGTTTAGATCACGGTCTGGTTTGCAATGACATGCCTGTCAAAAATCACCCATTGAGTATTTAAGTTTTTTACACACTTACCCTAATAGATTGTTACCAGAACTCTGCAAGATGAATGCTGTTCTTATTTTGACCAAGACTGAGGCAGGGAGAACTCAAGGAACTTGCCTGAGGCCCCTTGGCTTGCAGTGGTGGAGCTGGGTTTGGTCACGCGTCTGTGGTCACTCTCTGCACACGGGGAACTTACCCACGTCTCTGGGGCCAGACATGGAGGGTGGGGCATGGGCCTCCGTGTCTCTGTGTGAGAGAAGTGTGGTGTGCGATCACATGTGGTGTTTCTGTGTAAGAAAGGAGGGAAACAAGAGGTGCACGCCTGTGTTTGCTCACGTCTGTTAATAAAAAGGAAACCCTGTGAGTTTACCCACAGGGATTCAAGGGGCGGAGGAGCCAGGAACCGGTATGCCAGTGAGGCTTGTAAACAATGCCCTGTTTTTATTTCAGTTTGATTGATGTAACTGACATAGAACATTGTATTAGTATATGATGTAATGATTGTATATAGGTATATATTAAGGATCGCCACGGTAAGTTTACTTAACACCGGTCACCTGACAAACTTCGAATTTTTTCACTCACGGCCTGTTTATACAAGGAAATGTATTCTTTTCACAGTGTTTCAATTTTGAACCCTGTGAATATATTACTTACTCAAAAAATTTTTTAAGAAAGAGCAGAGAGCTCTGCTGTCTAATAAGAGGAGAGCAGTATTGGGAAATGTGAGAAAAGGCCTGTTCACTGCTTGGTATGGATTCAGTTTAAAGGGCCATGGGGGTGATTTAGATGTCGTTTGCTTTTATAGAAACTAGCAGAATGACCTGCTTTCGCGTGCATGCATGCTAAGTCACTTCAGTCATGTCCAACTGTTTGCAACTCAGTGAACTCAGCATAGGCCATCAGGCTCCTCTGTCCATGGGGTTCTCCAGGCAAGAATACCAGAGTGGGCTGCCATTCCCTTCTCCAGGGGAATCTTCCCGACCCAGGGATCAAACTTGCATCTCATGCATGTCTTGTGTCTCCTGCATTGGCAGGCGGGTTCTTCACCGCTAGCCCACCTGGGAAGCCCCCTTTCGTGATCGTGACCTAATTCTCTCCTCTGCCAGGTGGCCGCAGGGTTGACGGGTGACTGATTGGGTTTCAGAGGGCCCTGGAACTACACAGAGTGTTTCTCATGTTGGGAAAGACGTGTTCAGTTTTTCTCAAGTTTTAAGGTTTAGTGCCTCCCCCTAAAGTGTTGCAAATTTATTTATTTGCTATTTATTTGACTCAGAAAGTAGTCTTTTGGTGTCATCAGCTAATCTCTCCTTAGCAGATTTGATCACGGAAAAGGCGAGACTGCCTGTAACGCTCCATGTCTGTTTTCCTCTGGCGTCTTTGCAGGACTGGACATCAGATGGGTGGACTGCTACTTCCCCTTCACTCATCCCTCCTTCGAGATGGAGATCAACTTCCACGGGGAATGGCTGGAGGTTCTGGGCTGCGGGGTGATGGAGCAGCAGCTGGTAAACTCAGGTACGGGAGGACCCGGAGTGTGGGCACTGGCTCTCCTGGGGGGCCCTGTTCCCAGGGAGCCCCATGCGCGTTCTGTCTGCGTCCGCATCTGCACCCTCCTGCAGGGCTCGCTGCCCGGCCTCTGTGCTGGCTTTGCCCTCCGGACTTTGTCTGCGCTGCGCTCTGGGAGGGCACCATCTCTCTCGCCTAGTTTTGCACTGGCTTCTTGGTCTTGGAGCTCTTCCTTGTCAGCTCTGGGTGTTGGGCTTGCACTGACGATGTCGTGTTTGTTGATCGGCTGCTTTGGAATCGCCCACAAGCCTTTGAGGCGTGTCCCACGGGAGCTGCCTGTCTTCCAGACTATTTAGGAACAAAGCCAGCCTGTCGTCCCGTTTTTGTTCCCACTGTGTTTGGAACTGTGCCCCCGGTTCAGCAGATGTTCCGTAAGTGCTGAGAACACAGTGTAAGACATGGAGGTCTGTCGTGTCTGCTGGTTTGTCCTCGACCCTCACTGTTGGCTGGACCACCCGATGCGGGGGCGAGTGGAAAATGGGGGCTCTGATGAAATTCCCCCTGGACTATAGGAACTTGAGAAGGATCTTTCCAGCTCTTTGTAGGGCCATTGTTTCATGAAAATGATTATTTCTAGGAATTCTCCAGGGGTCCAATAGTTAGGACTCTCTGCCCTCACTGCCAAGAGCCTCGGGTCAGGGAACTAGGATCTCACAAGCCACAAGGTCCAACCTCCCCCACCCCCCCAAAAAAAATTATTTCTAAACTTAATTTCAGAGCTGTGAATTTTTTTTTTTAAGTCACGGTCAGAATTTAAGTTTAAAAGTACTTTATCACGTTGTGAGTCCCCCAGGGGAAGCTGGCTAAGATTGGGCATCAGGGTAGGAGGGTCCCTGTGTGAGCAGGAGGAGGAGGGGGAGCTGATGCTGATGTCTCCACCGCCCCCCCAGGCCCCCTCCCCATGTGGAAGGACATGCCCTGTGTGGCCGGGGAGTGAGGCGGCTCTGGCTCAGTCTGGTCACTGGCCTCCTGCGGCAGCAGACCGGAGGGGAGCGGTCCCTCTTGGGGACTCAGAAGTGAGGATGGACCCTGGGTTAAGGTCCAGGGGTGAGAGAATGAGGGTGGAGGGAGACAGGAGACGGGGAATCGGCGCTGCCTGGCCTGGGCCGTGGGGCCCGGCCTGGGCTCAGACCCAGCCAGCTCCGGGGTTCCTCTCCACTCAGCCCAGCAAGGCTCACGGGAGAGCCCAGCTCGGGGCCACACGCTTCTCGGATGGTTCGTGGAGAGGAGGGAGCAGAGAGGTGCAGAGGAGGGCCGGTGAGTGAACGTGGGGAGGCGGGGCCAAGTGTCTGGAGCGGCAGGAGTGCTGTCTGGACAGCTGTGTCTTCGTCAGCACCTTGTCTAACCCCGCCAGTCTCCGTTTGTCAGAGCTAAACGAGCGCAGAGACGCCTCCCTCCAAGTTTCTTTCTGATGGTTCGAGGAGGCGAGCTGAGCACAGGCTCTGGCACGTAGCCAGTAAAGGTGCATCTCTGACGTTATTGAACAGGTTTTGTTTTGTTTTGTTTTTTTCCAGATGGTGAGAGCCACTTATTAACAGAGAGCCCCCTTAGTTAGAAATGTTTAAACAGAGGCTGTCCAGCGTGGCATAGAGACAGTTTCTGGTCAAGTAGAACTCGATTTCCTCTGTGATCTTAGTATCCGTGATGCTAGATGGAGTGAATAACTTCAGAGGGAGGAAGACTGAGGGTGGTAAGAAACATGAGAATCAAAGATACACATCTTAATAGAAAGCACAAAACAGTGGGAGCAAATATGTGAGCTGTTATCTCTTCTTGAGTAGGAACTAACTTCAAAAAACAGAAAAAGGTGCCTTTGTTTTGCTTTGTTTTTTAGACAAAAGATTTGCTGGATCCTAGGCTTCCTCCCAGGGGCACCTGGTGTCCGGGGCCAGCGCTCAGAACGCAAATCAGGGAGGGTTAGTTACGAATCAGCTGTTGCTTCCTGAGTCAGTCGTCTCTTCCTCGTGCGTTGCCAGTATCCTTGATAGGTTCTTATGAGGTTTATTCACACAGTAATTGGCTGAATATAGTCCCTGAAACAGGTTCCCAAGTCATCACTGTACATTAATGACGCTGCTGTTCTGCAGTTAGATCAGCCCTGTCAGGTAATCCTTGGAGGACATGGCGAAGTAGAAAAAGAAACGAAAAAAAAGAAGACCCCTGAGATGCACATGTGTCTGATAGAGTCACAGGGTGGTGGGAGGTGCTTTCGGTTGTTGGGACATGTACACATAAAATTTAAATACCTTGTGAGAGAGAGAGAGAGACCGAAGAAGAGGAAGAAGAGGTGCTTTTATAAAAGAAATTCTGTGTGGGCTTTTCTGTTTGAACTTGAAGTTGTCACGCCAGAGCTCTGCTCCGTGTTGTCAGACGGGCGTGTGTTTTGACGTCTGTAGTCGTAATCCTTAGACTGCGTGCCAGGCAGCCACTAAACACAGACTGCGGGCGCACGCGCCGCCAGCTCTCTTTTCTGAGTCCCCTGGCGCAGCAGAGCGCTGGCTGGCTCTGGTCACATTGCCTCCCCTCACTTGGCCATTCTTATTGCCTTTCCTCTTGCATTTCCCACCGCCAGCCCCCGCCCCCCTGCGCCCACACCCCACTGACTTTTAAAAATAGAAGTTCCAAGCGATGTTAGAATCAGTCGTTATAGTCTCCATCTATAGTCTTCATGGTTCTTACAGCTGTTCAGTCGCTAAACCTTGTCTGACTCTTTGCAACCCCATGGACTGCAGCACGCCAGGCTTCCCTGTCCTTCATTATCTCCTGGAGCTTGCTCAAACCCATGTCCATCAAGTTGGTGATGCCATCCAACCATCTCATCCTCTTCCGTCCCCTTCTCCTCCCGCCTTCAATCTTTCCCAGCATCACGGTCTTTTCCAGTGAATCAGCTCTTCGCATCAGGTGGCCAAAGTATTGGAGCTTCAGCTTCAGCATCTGTCCTTCCAATGAATATTCAGGGTTGATTTCCTTTAGGATGGACGGGTTTGATCTCCTTGCAGTCCAGGGGACTCTCAAGAGTCTTCTCCAGCACCACAAGTCAAGAGCATCAATTCTTCAGCGCTTGGCCTTCTTTATGGCCCAACTTTTGTATCCGTACATGACTACTAGGAAGACCACAGCTTTGGCTATACAGGCCTTTGTCGGCAAAGTGATGTCTCTGCTTTGTAAAATGCTGTCCAGGTTGGTCATAGCTTTCCTTGAGGTGCTGCTTAATGCTGAAATACATGGTGACCGAAGAGGTTGACGGGGCAGTGACACGAGCCGGTGTCGGCTGAGCCCCGACTGTGTGCCAGCAGCTCACGAAACGCCCTGGAGGCTTGCTTCCGTTTGACCTTGCCTGCAAAGCTCTGGGTGGATGCTGTTACTCTCCCTCTCTGGAGCCTCCGAAAGGTGATCAGAATGGCTGGCAGCACCCCTTGCCCAGATCTTTCGGACAACAGTCAGTTACTATATCTGCTACCTGAGTAGTAAATTGTATGATTTTGAAGTGGCTAGAAGTCCTTCCAAATAAATGATTCTGCTGCACATGGAATGAAGAGCTGGAACCAACAGAAACAACAGCAAACAAAGCTGTTTGTTCTGTGGTTATTTATCACCCTTGCTGCGGGACCCTGCCCCCATTACCTCTGTGATCAAGTGCATTTAATTAAAGGCAAAAGATTAGATCGCTAATTTGAACAGGCAGTGAAAACACTTTATGACACATTTAAGTTGATTGTGGCATATGTGTGTTTTTGCGCACAGAACAAGATAAGGCTCTTCTGGATAGCTGAGAGAATTTTATTTCTTCTCCCTTAAGTTACGGCACCTTCAGCATCGCTCTCCAACCACTGAGATCTGGTAATTGTGATGTGGGCGGCAACTGCTGTCCTGATGACTTGATTGTTTTTCCCTTGAGGAGACGTTTTGAAGACAGCAGTGAGTCACGTCTCCAAATTCTACACACTTCTCTCCCTTTGGGCTGACTCAGGCCGCCGTCTTTCCAGGTACTATACGGATCAGGAAGACAGAAAACATCACTGGGCGACCGTGGGCTGTCATCATGCCTGGAAGGAATTTACCATTTATTGAAAAATTTAGAAGATTGTACACAGGCCAGGGAGGAAAGGCTCCATCCTGGGAAATAACTTTTTAGGAAATGGAACCACTTTCTTTACCTCTTCATTAAAATTTAAAACTTGACTCTTTGGGGGAAAAAACCTTATAAATATGCACATGAACGGTTTCTAGTTTTAAACAATCATTCTTTTGTTCATTTGTTTGTCAAATATCTCTTGAATTACTTCTAAGGCTGTAGAAAAGCAAAAAAAGCATCGTCCTGGCCGTTGAAAACAACGCAGCACACCCAGGCATAAGCATAAACGGTTAGAGTGCCACGTGGCGCGTGTCTGTAACAGAGGTGCAGTGGGCGGAGCTGGGGAAGACAGTGCCAAGCCCTCGTCCTGGTTACACGCAGGGTAGAAGGGGACCTCCACTCACTGTGGTCTGCTCTGCAGTGTGGAGTGAGCATCCCAACATAAGGAAGCTTCCTGCTCACAGGGGTCATGTCCTTGATCTTTGCCTGGACGTGCAGTTGACACACCTGATGCTTCTGTCGCTGTCTAGGTGAGACCCTGTTTTCCGTCTATCCCTCTCCCTGGCGACAGTCTCTAAGCTCCTGCACACAGCTGTATCACGCAGTGTCACTGATCTAAGCTGGTGAGCTCCCAGGTGGCGCAGATCAAGACCGTCCGGGCCCGTGTCGGATGCGAGCGGACGTGCCGCCGTGTCTCCTGTGTTGGCAGGTGGATTCTCAACCGCTGGGCCACCAGGGAAGTCTGATGTTTGCACTGTTTTGATGCCTTTGGCGTTGTGGTAACTTTTGAAATCGGGACGTGTGAGTCCGACTTTGCTCTTCCTCTCTTCATTCTTTACTCTTTGCCCTGACGTGCTCAAGTCTCCCTAATTAAAAAATAATTTCTTCCTTAAAGTTATCCTTTACTGAAAGACTTCCTTCTGATACTTTATCTGCCCCGCTCTCGTCTCTGTCTCTCTGTCTGCTAGTTATTTGCTGTATCAGCCAGTCCAGGGTCCGTCACTCAGCTGAAGAGGTGGGACACCATACAGGTGGGAGCCCCCGTGTGTCCCCTCCCTGTTAGCGCTTCCCCCGCCCCATGAGCATTCACTGTTCTGAATTTTGTGTTGTCACCTTAATTTTCTATGCATTTCGTAAACAAGTGAACTTTCCCCGGCTTTTGTGCTTTAACACGTGGAATCACGCTGCCTGTCCTTTCCTGCAGTTCTCCACGCGGTGCTGTGAGGCTCATCTCTGTTGTCCTCTGTGGAGTTTCAGCTCATTCATTTTTCGATGCTCAAGTTCTAGTGGGTGAATGTGCCGTAGTTTGTTCATCCGTTTAAGG